AATGTTGTTCAGTAGTGCGTGACCTTTTCTTCTAGCAGTATAGAGGCATTTTGGCTCAGCATCAATCTGCAATGTTACTTTTGTTTGAGCTTTCCTAATCCTCTGAAAAGGCTTGAGAATTCTTTCCAAAATTCTCTTCCATTTTCTTCATCCACTCTCTGTCGGAGACCTAACTAGATACTTGCATTTTTACTTGGAAACAAAGGCCTGGATGTTTTGCTGGCAAATCAGTTGTTATTCCAATGCAGATAGGAATATGTTTGGCAGGCTCTGAAAGAATTGCCCTGGAATCCTCTGAAAGACCCTATAGTTACCTTACACCCAAACATCCCTTACATCCCCCACACCATCACCTAATACCCATTCCCCTGCTCCAACGCCTACCTTCCCCTCCACACCCCACTGCCACCAGTAGACACCACCCAACCCCCATCTCCATCCCACCCTCCATTAACTGACCCACTCCCCTCCCACCATCACCATTCTCTGCATCCAACCTCCCACTCTCCCCTCATTCGGCCCTCCCCCCATCTCCCCTCCCCCGGGCACCAGACCAGGTGCCACTCAATCCACTACCAGACACAATCCATCCCCTCACCACCCCTGCCAGACAACTGGACTCAACGTGACCCTCTCCCCAACCTCCACCACCTTCCACAACCAGCAGACCCAACACCCACCTTCTCCACCCATCCTGACCTATCCTAAACACTGCATTACTTACTTGGTCCCCTGCCCACATGGCACCCCTACACTGTTCCCACATGGCAACCTATCTAGTTGGCACCCTAATTACCTATACCCTACTGCCTATGCATCTGGAATCCTAGATCTGGTACCAAACACCTCCTTAGCGGGCATCCTACCCAAATAGCACAACACACATCTAGCACCCTACAATCTCAGCAGCCTAACATCGCACTTACATTATGTGCTTACCATTTGACAGCAGCCAGAACCTATAAATTTCAGGAAACTGCAGATGACTGTTGCAAAAAGACTGGTTGTCTTCCTCTGATAGTTCTACATTGCAAAACAACTGCCCAAATGGAAGTTTGGCTCCACATTTCTGAGGGAGCCCTGAGCGGAAAGCCCTCCAGAAATGCAGAGCTCCCTTCTTTCATAACAGAAGATCTGCATGAGGTTACCATGAGCTTCGGAAACCTAGCCCAGCATGATTTTGTACCTCAACACATCTCTCACCCCTTTAGCTAAATGGGATGGTGCACTGACACCATTCAACTGAAGATCTGTGCACTTCGATTTGCAATTTGATGGTGATTGGTCAAACATCCAGGGATTTTAACCATGACCAGCTGTCAGCAAATATGGAAACAATGTCCACTGTACATAGCTTAAATCCTCTATTAAATCCTTTTACTTGAAGAACGACCTTTGCTGGCCCTCTCTGACATCACTTAGTAATGTTGCTTGCTTTGCTCATCTTCCCTTTTGATCTGTTGGATCTTCTTCTTTCCAAATGATTTTCCTCAAGCAGGATTTTATCCCTTTGTGAAATGACTTCATTGTTTTGGTGGCAATACAAAAATTTCAAGCGCGCTGTATCCTCTCAAGTGTCCTACTCTTCCACATCGATTGCATTCATGCTCCCTGCTTGGCACTCACTGTTTGCAGTGTCACCTTTAACCAGATCCTCCACATCCTAATATGGGTGATGAGGTTCTTTCCTGCTGTCTTGCCATGTTTGCAGGCCTTCAGGAAAACAATGCAACCTTACAGCCTACTGATCCAATGGTTTTTGAAGGAGCCTCGCTGTTAGCTTTGATGATTGCCCAGTTCTGGGTCCTAATCTCAGCTTGTGTGGAAAATTGAACTGCCTCCTCTAGCTTGAGTTCCTCTTGTGATGGAAACAAAAATCAAACAATTATTTTTCATCCCTAACATCTGCGATGACACAATCTCCAGTAAGTTCGTCTTTTAGCACTTCATATCCGAAGCACCCTGCTAACGTGTATTACATCAGTTAATAATACCTTCCTTTGGTTAAATCTTGCCCATTCTATGACCAGACACCTCTTTGGATTAAAAGATGCACTGGTCACTTTGATGAAAGATTTGAAGTCCGTACTATTTTCTTCCACACCCTGCCTTGTGAGGGAATCACTGGCTATAGACCCAACCACAAACAGAAATGCACTGACCCGATGCCTTTGTGATTTCACACATAACCCCAATGTTGTCCTGTATTTCAACAGCTCCCACTGTTGGCCCTTGTTGTTGGCCCTTGGCATTCTCCAACTGCTGCAGCAATGGCTTTGATAGGAGCTGCTGTTCCTTCAGGTTACTGTACCACACTGACCTGGGTAAATACAATGGTTTCTCTTGCCCCTTGTTTGCACGGCCTTCTGGTTATTCCTGCTGGCTCACCAGAGTCTTCCCTTTGCATTAGTTTGTCACCAAAGTCTTCCAAATTTCCGTTCCGCCTGCAGTGTTCCATCTTTCGTTTCTTCTACCTCATGGGCTGTGATCTACCTTCAATCTGACAACATTGTAGTCTCCCCCACTGCTACCAGGCTTTGAGAGAACTCAGAAGGTACCAAGCCTTGGGCTGCTGCAGCCATGTCTATGAACAGTGTGTCTCCCACAGACTCTTGCCTGTCAGTGGTCCCTTCATGTATTCCAAGCTCTCTTGGCTCTCCAGGGCATTGGATGCCTGCACTTGCACTCTTAGAGGCCGTTCTACTTGTCCTTGTCTGAAATCTCTCCCTCTGTTATACTATGAGCTCTATCTACACCAGAATACACATTACACTGAGTCCAGCTCTGTAGCAACATTTCTCCTCTGCTCCTCTTTGAGGCTTGATCGCATTTTCTCTCTGCTCTGCGTACGTCAGGGTTGCGTCATTAGTTAAATAATCATAAATCATTCTACTAAACATGAAAAAGCCATTCAGTCCCTCGAGCCATTTGGTGTGACACCCCTGCAGTTCGACACTGAAAGTGTCAGCCAGGATTATGCGCTCAAACGTCCACTACCTCCTGACCGAAGGAGGTAAAAACTCTGCCAACTCAATCTGTCATGTTAACACCTGATGCTCTCAACGGTCAAGAGCAGAGAGACTGTGTTCACTGACCAGCAACCATCCTGCACCTGGGTCAATCTGGCTGGAAGGTAAATGGAGCTGTGAGGATGTTAGCCACTGACAGTGTGCCAATGTGATGAGGAAATGGATTGAGACACATCACTGGCTTGTTATGGCTGCTCTGATTGCTTGCACATGCTTCGGAGGCTGCAGAGAGGGAAAACAACCGAAAAAGACCACTGAGGATTCAGAACGGTTTACAACTCAGTATGTGCCTGCAGCAAGGTACTGAGCAACACTGTCGCATTCCACAACTTCACGAACTGCAGGCATAAAAAGTGACTCCACCAAAACATGCTATTTCCAAAGTTACTCACTCTTTCAAGTGTTGACACTCTCACAGCTGGATACAGTTCATTGATTTTGATTATGCAGCCATTGGAAGTGGTTACAAATTCTACAGAACCTCAAATGGGAAACACGCAAATTAGCCAAAGATCCTGCAGCTAAATCTTTTTAAGTTCAGTTCTTTCTCTTGTCCATGGTGGAGCTTAAACAGGGTGCAGGGAGGGAATGTGCTGGGGCTGCCTCGGAGACCAGACTGTTCATCCCAGGGCATGTGGTTAAAAAGATAAAACACAGCCAATTCACTTCTGCAATATCACCAACCCCTCTACTGACAACACCAGGTTTCAGTTGGGGAAGAAGGATATTGGAAGTGAAGGAAACAATGTGCAGATAAATGAAACATTAGTCAACTTCCTACACTTTGCAATGTGGCACAGAACTCCCACTTTGTCTGGCTTCATCCAAACTGGCACCAACTTTAAACACCAACCTCAAGGACTCCAACCTTTGATGCTGCAACATGGGATTTGAGGCAGGGTACTGGTCACAACAGCTCAATACACACCTTGATTCCTCTGTTCCACAGCACAAGATGTTTGCAAAGAAACTCACAGTCCATGAATTCATTTTTTAAGTTGTGCAGTCAATGTTGTAAAATAGCAAGTGCAGCATCCAATTTGCAACCAACAACCTCTTACAAACAGCAATGTGACAATGACCAGATAATCTGGCCAGGGCATCAGGAAGGACTTGGCTGCTCAGCTTCAAAGGTAGCGTCGAGGGAATTTGTTTCCAAACACACAGCTCAGGGGCACATGAGACCCTACTGAAAAAGCAAAAGCCAGCATCATCTGACAATGTAGCACGAGGCAGCCTGCCCACTGCCCACTGCTCCCTGCCCTTAGAAGCACAAGGATGGGAAAGGGAAAAGAGCAGGATTGCACTGAAATGTCGGTTTCGACTTTGGGCTCAAATGTCTAGAAAGGGGCTTGAGCAGGAATAATAAACCCTACCGTGACTTTATGCTGAAATTACTCTCCAGTTAGAGACAAAGCCGTGACTAAGATATTAGGTAGTATAAGGCAAGGCGCTGGCGACCAGAAGACATGCTGTATATTTGGCTGTATACATTTTCAAGAAATAGGTGTGGCCTTTGTTTTAAACTCTTGTGAAGTTGGTGAAGGACTTGAACTGCTGCAGGCAATGAAGGTGTTCCCATATTGCTGCAAGGTAGGAACGTCCAGGATTTTGACCCAGTGTTTATGAAGGAGCAGCAAACTATTCCGAGTCACAGCGGTGAGTGACTTGGAGGGGAGCTTCGAAATGGTGATACCACTGTGCCTTTGTAGGCTTTCAAGGTGGTTGTCACAGGTTTGTGAGGTGTCACCGCAGTCACTAAGGAAAAGTGGTCAGGAGCCACAACAAGCACTTCGATATTTGCAATATATTGCGGCCAACTTTCCCAGCTCGCTGGCGCACTATCACAATAGACAGACATCAACACTTTGTGTCTAATAAAGAGTTTGCATTCGCTCTGCACCTTAAAGATAGGTCACAACGTGCTTCACAGATCCAGAAAGAGTGAACTAAAACCTCTTCATCACTCACCTTTGCTGTAAACAGTGCCTCTCCTGTGACATGACCCCTCCTCCGCAGCTCCGACTGCAAGTGGACCAGGAGCTCCATTCTCCCCACCACTGGGCAACATCTTCCTCTCTGCTTTGGTCCTTCTCCGTAACTTCACTACTGTCCTGACAGAAACAACAAAGAAAAGCAGCCATTTGCACCTGTTGGCCATAAGGTGGATCAATTTCTTCGAAATACCAGACAGGCAGCAAACGCAGCATCAAGCAACATGCAGGAAGAAAATAAAGAACTTGCATTTATGTAGCCCCTTCCACAATGTCGGGACTTCACACGAAGCTTTACAGCTACTACACAGATTTTTTTTAAGCGTGCAACATTTTCGGAAACACAGCAGCCAACTAGCAGGCAGTGAGGTACCACAAACAGCAGTGTGGCTTCTTCACTGATGTTGGTAGAGAAAAATATATTGGCCAGGATAGAGAGATCAACTACCCTGCTCTTCTTCAAACTCATCCCTCCCCATCTCTGTAACCTCCTCCAAACCTCCGAGATCTTTTCATTCCTCTGCTGTGTCTGTGAATTTCATTACCTCAGCTGCCTAGTCCTGGAATTCCCAACATATACCCTCAATGTCTCAGCCTCTCTAACTGCTCCAAAATGCTCCTTAAAACCTGCCTCCTTCCTGTCTTAACGTGTGGCTATATATTAGGAATAGTTCTAATAAAACAAAAACTTATTTTGGCAGTTAATGTATGTACAAGTTCCAAAAGACATTCATTACTGAAAAATCCTCTGTGGCTTGACCCAATTCTCCTTATCTGGCTCAGTTTCAAGTTTTCTTTGATAATGCTTCTGTGAAGTGCCCGAGACATTCCATTAAGTTACAGGCACTTTGCAAATACAAGTCAACATTGTTGTGACATGGAAGCTGCTGCATTTCTTTTATTTGATTTATTATTGTCACGTGTACCGAGGTACGGGGAAAAGTTTTGTTTTGCATGCAGTACAGGCAGATCATACCATACAAAGTGCATTAGTGTAATAGAAGAGAGCAAGGAATACAATGTTATGGCTGCAGAGAAGGTGCACAAAGAGCAAGGTCAATATTAAATTTAAAATTTGAGAGGTCCATTCAGAAGTCTAATAAGCGGGGAAGAATGCTTTCTATGGTGCATCGATAAAAATTGGTCAGAGTCTTTATGGTCGTGCCAAATTTCTTTTGACTCCTGAAGAACTAGCGGCGTTGTTGCGCCTTTTTGACTGTCGCTTCAGCGTGGGTGGTCCACGACTGATTGTTGGTGATCGTCACTCCTAGAAACTTGACGCCCTCGACCATCTCCACCTCAGCTCCATTGATGTACATAGGGGCATGTCCTCCTCCTTGCTTCCTGAAGTCAATGACCAGCTCTTTCGTTTTGCTGGCATTTGAGGGAGACGTTGTTATCTTTACACCACACCTGGAAGCACTCCATCACTTTCCTGTATTCTGTCTCGTCATTGTTTGAGATCCGGCCTACAACAGCGGTATCATCAGTGAACCTGTAGGTGGATGAAACTTGGCCACACAGTCATGAGTGTACAGGGAGTATAGTAGGGGGGCTGAGTACTCAGCTTTGTGGGGCACCGGTGTTGAGGATTGTCATGGAGGAGGTGCTGTTGCTCTTCTCACTGATTGTAGTCTGTGGGTCAGGAAGTCGAGGATCCATTTGCAGAGGGTGGAGCAGAGATCTAGGTCTCTGAGTTTGAAGATTAGTTAAAAGTGTTGAAGGCAGAACGGTAGTCAATAAGTAGGAGCCTGACATAGGTATCCTTGTTATCCAGATATTCCAGGGATGAGCGTAGCGCTAGGGAGATGGCGTCTGCCGTGGACCTGTCGCGACAGTAGGCAAATTGCAAGGGATCAAGGCAATTTGGGAGGCTGGAGTTGATAGCGCTTCATAATTATGGTGATCAGAGCCACCTTCTGTTCGAAGAAGCAGAAAATGCACTGAGCGCGTCGGGGACGGATGTAGTTTTGCCCGCTTCGCTTTGTAGCCCATTAAGTCCTGTAGGGCCATGCCACAAACAGCGGGTGTCCATGTGGCGTCCACCAGAAAGGACAGACTCATGCAAAAGGTGGCATTGCTGACAGTGCAGCACTTCCTCTGTGCTACACTGGAGCACCACCTAGCTTTTGTGCTCTGGTCTCTGAACCCAAAATCCGCCGACTCAGAGGTGAGATCGCTAACAACCGGGCCACAGCTGACACCTAAAGATATGACATGGGGCCATTTCACCTCATCCACAAGGCAGAGGAGTGCAGAACATTTTGAAACAGTTCTAAGGAAGGGTCACCAGACCCGAAACGTTAACTCTGTTTTCTCCTTCACAGATGCTGCCAGACCTGCCTAGCTTTTCCAGCAACTTTGTTTTTGTTCATGAGTTACAGCATCCGCAGTTCTTTTGGTTTTTACAAAAGAAGCAAATGCAGGATGAGGGCATCGCTGGCTAGGTCAGCATTTATTGCCCATCCATAATTGCCCAGAGGACAGTTGAGAGTCCCCCACATTGCTGCAGGTCTGGAGTCACATGTAGGCCAGACCAGGACACTGGCAAGACCACAACTTGAATGCTGTGTGCAGTTTTAGTCTCCTTATCGAAGGAAAGGTGGACGAGGATCAAGGGAGCAGATGGTATAGCGGCTTTTCAGTTGTTTCAGCGGCGGGAGTCCGGGAGGAAGCGCGAGGGCAGCCTGGGAAGGTGAGCTTTTCGATTATAAAAGTCTTACCTTGCGTGACTCCATTTTTTGGAGCAAGTGAGGTAATATATTTGGGCGGTTGCTTTACCCGAAACACTACCTAGGTAGTGTCTCCCACCCATCCTCCTCCTCTAACCAAAAAAAAAGGTTCTAGGCGCTGATTTGGTAAGGTTACTAGTATTTTTTTTTTAGTTTGTCGGTTTGGGAATTCAGAACAGTGGGAATGGATGTTAGGGCAGTTGTATGCTCCTCCTGTAGAATGTGGGAGGTAAGGGTCACCACTAGTGTCCCCACTGACTTCATCTGCGGGAAGTGCACCCAACTCCAGCTCCTCGGAAACCGTGTGAGGGAACTGGAGCTGGGGCTGGATGAACTTCGGATCATTCGGGAGGCTGAGGGGGTAATTGAGAGGAGTTACGGGGAGGTAGTCACACCTCAGGTACAGGAAAAAAGTAGATCAGTTACAGTCAGGGGACGGAAAGGGAACAGGCAGACAGTGCAGGGATCCCCTGTGGCCATTCCCCTCAAAAACAAGTATACCGTTTTGGATACTGTTGGGGGGGATGACTTACCAGGGGTAAGCCATGGGGTACAGGTCTCTGGCACAGAGTCTGTCCCTGTTGTTCAGAAGGGAAGGCGGGAGAGGAGGAGAGCATTAGTCATTGGGGACTCCATAGTTAGGGGGACAGATAGGAGATTCTGTGGGAACGAGAGAGACTCGCGGTTGGTGTGTTGCCTCCCAGGTGCCAGGGTCCGTGATGTCTCGGATCGTGTTTTCGGGATCCTTAAGGGGGAGGGGGAGCAGCCCCAAGTCGTGGTCCACATAGGCACCAACGACATAGGTAGGAAAAGGGATGGGGACGTAAGGCAGAAATTCAAGGAGCTAGGGTGAAAGCTTAGAGCTAGAACAAACAGAGTTGTTATCTCTGGTTTGTTACCCGTGCCACATGCTAGCGAGGCGAGGAATAGGGAGAGAGAGCAGTTGAACACGTGGCTACAGGGATGGTGCAGGAGGGAGGGATTCAGATACCTGGATAATTGGGGCTCATTCTGGGGTAGGTGGGACCTCTACAAACGGGATGGTCTACACCTGAACCAGAGGGGTACCAATATCCTGGGGGGGAAATTTGCTAATGCTCTTCAGGAGCATTTATTCAACAGGGGGGTGGGAACCTGAATTGAAGCTCCAGTATACAGGAGGTTGAGAGTAGTGAGGTCATAAATAAGGTTTCAAGGTTGCAGGAGTGTACCGGCAGGCAGGAAGGTGGTTTGAAGTGCGTCTACTTCAATGCCAGGAGCATCCGGAATAAGGTGGGTGAACTTGCAGCATGGGTTGGTACCTGGGACTTCGATGTTGTGGCTATTTCGGAGACATGGATAGAGCAGGGACAGGAATGGTTGTTGCAGGTTCCGGGGTTTAGATGTTTCAGTAAGATCAGGGAAGGTGGTAAAAGAGGGGGAGGTGTGGCATTGTTAGTGAAGGACAGTATTACGGTGGCAGAAAGGACGTTTGATGACAACTCGTCTACTGAGGTAGTATGGGCTGAGGTTAGAACCAGGAAAGGAGAGGTCACCCTGTTGGGAGTTTTCTATAGGCCTCCGAAAAGTTCCAGAGATGTAGAGGAAAAGATTGCAAAGATGATTCTGGATAGGAGCGAAAGTAACAGGGTAGTTGTTATGGGGGACTTTAACTTTCCAAATATTGACTGGAAACGCTATAGTTCGAGTACTTCAGATGGGTCAGTTTTTGTCCAATGTGTGCAGGAGGGTTTCCTGACACAGTATGTAGATAGGCCAACAAGAGGCGAGGCCACATTGGATTTGGTACTGGGTAATGAACCAGGCCAGGTGTTAAATTTGGAGGTAGGTGAGCACTTTGGTGATAGTGACCACAATTCGGTTACGTTTACTTTAGCGATGGAAAGGGATCGGTATATACCGCAGGGCAAGAGTTATAGCTGGGGGAAAGGCAATTATGAGGCGATGAGGCAAGATTTAGGATGCATAGGATGGAGAAGGAAACTGCAGGGGGTGGGCACAATTGAAATGTGGAGCTTGTTCAAGGAACAGCTACTGCGTGTCTTTGAGAAGTATGTACCTGTCAGGCAGGGAGGAAGTGGTCGAGCGAGGGAACCGTGGTTTACTAAAGAAGTTGAATCTCTTGTCAAGAGGAAGAAGGAGGCTTATGTAGAGATGAGGCGTGAAGGCTCAGTTAGGGCGCTTGAGAGTTACAAGTTAGCCAGGAAGGACCTAAAGAGAGAGCTAAGAAGAGCCAGGAGGGGACATGAGAAGTCTTTAGCAGGTAGGATCAAGGAAAACCCTAAAGCTTTCTATAGGTATGTTAGGAATAAAAGAATGACTAGAGTAAGATTGGGGCTGGTCAAGGACAGTAGTGGGAAGTTGTGCGTGGAGCCTGAAGAGATAGGA